TTTTAGGACTCAGAAAGGAAGTAGTGAACGCCGACCCTTCACAAGCGTGAGAAGGACTAGAAACCATTTTTGCCATCTTTTGTATATTTATCACATTTTTGTAAAGTCTCAAAACCATAGTGATGTATATTCATTTTGCAAGCCATGGTCGTGTAATGTAGACTATAACTTTTATTGGTGTTTGGATACAAGTTGAGACTATGTAAATACTTGATGATGAATGGGAAAGAAACCATGTTTTGAATAATTATTAGTACTTTTTTATTGATTAATTCTTGAATTGTTACCGTAAATTCGGAATTTCAATCCATAACAGGTTTACCATGGGTTTAGCATGCACAAAGCACAGTCTGAATGCATTACCAGTGAGTTGGGTTGTGCAGGACCATGTTTCGGCAGGCTAACCCTGATCATCAGTTGATCGAAACCCCAGGTTCGGCCAACCGAACCCCCACCATCAACCGACCGACAGGCTATAGTGAAAGTCCCGAGAGCATGCAAGTTTTGGAGTCGTTTCAGCCAGCCGACCCTGTAGGTTAGCCGGCCGAACCTGCTCCGTCAGTCGACCGATGAAAGGCTATCAGCCGGCTGATCATTCCCCTTCGACCTGCATTGTTTGACTATTGTTGTAAGGTTGTATTCTAAAGTATTTTGAAACCCAGATTGACCCTTATGATGGTGTTGGACAAGGAAGATGGATGGTAAGACCTAGTTGACCTCGAGTCAGGACAAGGACTCGGTTAACGGTTAGGACCCACGGGTTCGGGTCGTTACAGTTCAAGTCTGAACCCCAAAACCAAGTGTTTATTCCTGCCTTTGGATTGCTCATAAGTCATATCAATCAGAAAAAGAAAAGAAGATAAATGTTTGTGTAAACAAAGATAGTATGTGCATTTGTAATCTGGCTCTTCTTTTGCCAACATAAATGAAATTTATCTTATAATAATATTTTTCTCCTTAGTGTTAAATTTTGAATAGAATTTTGATACATTGGTTAATCTATCTCGCATTTCAAATCTAGAAGCAGACTTTGTTGAAGCAACTGCCCTTGCCCATTCGCACATATTTGCTTTCACCAGCTCGCAATCAAGTACCAATTTATCAGTACCCTTCTTAAATTCAGTGCTGGGACTTTGTTGATCAGCTAGAAGATATAGAGGTGGCCGTTCCAAGACACAGCCCTCGCAAGCTTCAATGTTGTTGTTGTATTCCATGTAATCGACGCCTGCCATTGCTAGAGCTTCAATAGACATAGCTTCTTTTAACAAATATGTCTAGTACTTGTGATTTTATATAAAAAAAAGGTATTGCAAAAGTGATGATTCCGAAGAACTCATCAAATGGTAGTTATATATGAATGCTTTTTATCTTCTCTTCTATTGATTTAGGTTCAGAGAAGAGGAAAGTACACGGGTGTTGCATGAACAAAATTTACATTGTCATACCCGTGATCTTCTTGAGCCCATTGTTTTACCTTTCTAATGAAATTACTCAGAAAGACATGTTGATACCCTTTTACACCAAAATATTTCAAAAGTCCATGTTAGTCACAATGACAACATGCAATACATGTACGATTGAAGAAATATATATTGTATGTCATGGAGGATTTCATAAATCAGGGGTTTTTTTTTTTTTTTTTTTTTTTTGGGAGAATAAAGCTACTGACATTGATTGATTGTGAAATATTTACAAAGATTTGGGGCCAGAGCCCATTGCCAAATAAGTTAACAAGCCCAAATGGGCAACAAGGGCATAAGCCCAAACAAAGAAGCAGGATAACCTTCAATTAACTAAAGCATAACTGTTAATTGAAAATTATCTAAACCAAATCCGGTGAGAAATTAATTGAATTGGTAGGTGAAGATTGTGGGAAAAGAACTTAATTACTTTTGACTTTGCACTATTAGAGTTATCTTGTGACCTAATGAAGTCCTAATAGAATCTAAAAGTTCTCGCATCCTAAATTTGACACACCTTCCATTTGTTTCTTTGGAATGACGAAAAAATTGTCTACTGTGATTCAGGTAGGACAATTAATACAGTTAAGTGGGTAATAAGCAGCAGAGGATTCAGAACAGAGGACTGCAAATAGCCTGTAATAAATGTGAACTTTTAGATATCACTACAAATTAAGCAACTAGCTGCGGCGCTGAAAATTTAAGTCCCTTTTTTTGTTAGCACAGTTAATACAGAGTTAACTGAAAGGAAAATGATTTTTAGGCTGAACAAATTAACCCATTTATTGAAGTTAAATTATTGTACTTTAAAGTTAGGGCGGATTCAGTTTTTCTGAATGGGGTGAACTAATTTTGGACTGGACTAATTTTGGACTGGGCTACTATTACTAATTTTTTTTTTTTTTTTTTTGGGGGGCTGGGCTTAAAGTAATATGATAAATTTTTTTTTTGGAGTGGGTTGAAGCTCAGCTTCGCCCATCCTTGGATCCGCCCTTGCTTTGAAGTCAATCTTAACTGTAAGATTGCTCATTCAAGGGACTATATGACGAAGACAGAAACGATCACATTATACCCAAATTTTGTGTTTGAAACAAAAAAAAGTAACAAATGACAATTTTATTAATAATCAAGAAATGAGTATAGGCGATTTTATTACAATCAGAATCTTTCTTTAATTAAATCTTCTTAAAAATTGGGTGCAAGGGCTTTAGAAGTTTGATCTTAAACAGGTGGTTAAATGTTATTCGAACTCTTCAAAGTCGAAGAAAACTAAAATGGATTTTCGAACGAGTTGGCGAGACTTGATCTCACAGGTACAGGCCCACTTGCACCATGGATGAATCTAGTATGGCTCTGTCCTTCCATTCCAAGGATCGATGAAGTTCATTCTATGGCTTGCGGTCCAAAGAAGATTGTCCACCCTCGACAACAAATCAATGGCTCGATTTCAGAACGACTGTGCACCATGTCGTAATCACCCAGAAGACCACAGCCATCTCTTCTTCAATTGCACTTTCATCTCTCCGATTTGGACATTCTTCCAAGACCGATGCAGATTCTACACTCCGATTAAGGAGTGGGAGGATCTGGTTACCATCATCGGCGAAAGATGGAAGATTAATTCCCCGTTCAACTTGCTCAGAAAGCTCTGCCTCTCATCCATTGTTTATATCATACATGGGAGGAACGAAATCAGCGAATTTTTCAACAAATCTTTTCACCGCAGAGAATTGTTCTTGCAAAAATTTGCAACAGCATCACATTCCCATCTATCCTCAAATTGGGGTTTTTGAAGAACTGCTCAGCTACAAAATACATCCTTTCGGAATGGAACTTGCCTCCTTCATGTTGCAGACCGCCAGATTGAATCAGCTATGGAGAATTGCTCCATAGTCAATCATAGGGCTAGCACCGAATTTGTTGCCATATGTTCTGCGTTAAAGGGCTCATTAGTCCGTTAAATCAGGCAATGTGTTTTGAGTTGCTCCAGGGTTTTTGCGTTGTATAGTCTATTTGGTTTATATCGGGCTTGTTTGCCAGTTGCTTACTTGGTCGTTTTGGGCAAAGGCCCACTTGTACTTCTTCTCATTATATACAATTTGCTTAAACTTTGGGGGCCACTTTGACCCACTATAATGTGTGATGCTTATAATTGTTTTCGGGGAGACAATTAGGCCAACTTCTCATTAAATGGCTGAACTAGGATCTCAAATTGTGGAATTAACTAACGATCGCTCAAGTAATATGTCAGTAGTGAAATTCTCTATCGACTTTGTATTTGAACTTTATACATAATGCCCAATTTTTATTATTTTTTTATTTTATTTTATACAAATATTTAAATTTTATTAAACCACATCAGCTAGTCCTAGGACAAGACCCAAGCATTGTCCTAAATATAAAATTCGTTAATCACATTCGGCAAATACAATTTATTATGTCAGCATACTAAACTCCTTATGCTAGTGCATATGTCATGGAGGATATCACAAAATTCGTCAGCATACTAAACTCCTTTTATCACTTTTTTTTCTTCTTTTTTTTTTTCTTTTTTTTTTTGACAACAAGCACACTCACACCTTCATTTATACACATTTTTTATCCACCCCCTCCCCCTCCCCCTCTAAGTCTTTGAGGATGAGAAATTAACTCCTTTATCAAGCATATTTCACAAATCACCCACTGACGGAACTTGAAGTCATCACCTCCCCTTTGAAGAATGAGAAGTTATACCATTGGGGTTAATGACTCATTAGTTCCTTTATCAGAGTCGCAAAACCCTCATGATAAAAAAAAAAAAAAAATGGTAATAATGCAATCCTAATTAAATTTGTGTTGCACTCTTTAAAGCATTATCTAATCGACCTATTTGTTATCTTAGTGAACAATATGTTGGCGGTTTTAGTTTGGATTCCGTCATTTTTCCCCTTTTTTTTTTAATTAATTAATTGCCTCATGCTTTTCGTCATTCTTATAATTAATGTTCTTCAGAAACATTACTAAGTTCTAAATCTCCAACTGTCTTAAATTTTTAATCTAGATTCAGTCCTTGTCAACCCTTTTTGGAACATGAAATATCTCTAATCAAAATGCAATTTTCAGCCTCAAGAAGTATTCGATTATTCAATGGTGAAATGATACCATAAATATTCTTATTTGTGCTTGCCATTGTCACCATCATCTTCATCACCATTATTTTCGTGGCTTAAAGGGTGTGTATCAATCCACAGTGAGAGATTTTTTGTGAAGTTTTCAATTTTCTTTCATTTTTCAATTTTTCGGAATTTTGTTGATGCAAGGGCATTTTTGTCTTTTCACGTTGTACAAACCGGACACTGCGGAGTGTGTCGGTTGTGTCCGAGAGTTGTTTGGAGTATTTCAATGAGTCCAGGACTCTTTAAAATGTAAGGGTGATCATTTTTGCATTTTTCAGTTTTTCGGGCCAGACGGTCCCGACCCGCTACCGGAATTGTTGTACACGGAAATTTTAGTTGGGTCCATTTGCATTCCATGCATTTTATTTAATGTGCCTTATGTGAATTTTATATAGTTATGTATATGTATGTGTATGGTGTAAATTAAAAACAAAAAATAAAAATAAAAATAAAAAGAAAATGGGTGGGACCCACAAATGTTTTAAGTCGTCATGAAACCATATTTGCTCTCTGTTCTCTCATCCTCTCTCCCGCTGCTCTGTCTTCCTCTCAGCTTTCTGTTTTCTTTTTCTTTTTCTTTTTTTCTTTTTTTCACTTCAAAGCTTCCATTCTTGATTCCTCTTTCAATTCTTGGTATTTTTAAGTGTCGTTTGCGGTAAATTAAAGCTCACGGCAAGGCCTACAAGTTGGTAAGAGCAATTCCTTGGTTGGTGCACCATAGGAAATTTGAAATCCTAGGGTTTGAGGTGAAAAAAATTGGGGGTTTTGCATAAAATTGAGGTAGGGGTCTCTAATTTGCATTTTCTTATTTCTTTGTGAGTCAATTCTTGTTATTTGATGCCAACATGCTTAATTGAAATTAATTATCTCTAGAATGATTTTCTTGTGGGTGTAAAGTTCATGATTATATGTGTAATTGTTGATTTGTATAAAAGTATGCTTCATTATTAATTTCTTTATGTTATTGTGTTAACAAAATTGTTAGAAATGATACATGGAAGCTTCTGAAAATTTTCTTAGAATTATTGTAATTTTTTTATGTTATTGTGTTGACAAAATTGCTAGAAATGATACATGGAAGCTCATGGAAATTTTCTTAGAATTATTATAAAACTTGTTTAATTATGGAAGTATTATGGAAATTTCTTATTGCCCTAACATTGAATACATGAGACATAGATGCATATCATGGGGCATGAAGGATGGGAAATGATTTTGAATAAATAAAAAGGGGATTTTGGGAAGAAATTTGATAAAAAAGGTTTTGAGGAAAACCCGGTCGCCGCGGAGTCACCAAAGGGCGGGTGTGTTAATATAACTTAGAGGGAACTAGGGAGATTGCCCTAGTGTGGTTGAGCTATCTAGGCCCCAAATGACGCTGCGGAGGTACCAAAGGTTAGGGACAGTGGTCAATCATTCTCTCGTGTCGCTGTGGAGTCACCAAAGGGCGGGTTATATTAACAATTTGTGAAGTGATGGATGTTTTCTGAAAATAGGGAGTAACATGCATAACATTGCATTCATAGCACGAGATTTATTTGCCTTGAACTAGGAATTGCTATTGTGTTTTCCTGGCTTTGCATGACCCCAATTCCTATTGTCCTATTCTCTGTTTAGATTCACGGGGTTTCAAGAGGTGCGTCTTAGACACTATCTACTGAGTTTTACGCTCACCCCATTATTTAACATTTTTCAGGGCCGGGAAAGGAAATAGTGGATGCCAATCCCTCTCAAGCATGAAGAGAACTAAAGATCTATTTTGATACCTTTTGTGTTTTGGTTAATTTTTGTAAAGTCTTAAATTATGGAAAAGAGTATTAATATTATTTTATCATGGCCATGTAACATAACTAAGGTACTTGACTATTTTTGGATGTAAATTGAGACTATGTAAATGCTTAAGTTGAATGGGATGACGATGATGGGCCAACTTGAGCAGATTGTTGATGTGGTAGTATCGGGGAATGTATTATATATTTTTTTTTTTTGTATTGTGTGTTGGGACAGGTTGGAGTAGTCTTGAAAGGCCAAGAAAGGCTATTGCATTTTTTTTTAATTAAGCAGGTTGTTGTAGGCCCCTGTTTGGTAGAGGTCATACCGAATTTTTTTATATATATAAATGGTATCAGTTTAGGGTCGTTACATTTTTCAACTGGTTTCGGAAAACTACTACCCACGAAGAAATTTATAACAGGAAAACATACTTTTTGGTCCTTGAAAATGCAATTTCTAGAGCTTCATTTAAAATTACATGGTTGTCTAAATATATTAGTATATTTATGAACTTATTAAACAGAAAATGTACATTGTACGTTTGAGAGAACAAGGAATAGTTTATGATCTGTGTTTAAATATCATTTCTCTTAATTTCAACTGTAAAGGCCAGTAGGATCTATGTTCAAGTCTGAACCTCAAAACCAAGTGTTTATTCCTGCCTTTGGATTGCTCATAAGTCAAATCAATCAGAAAAAGAAAAGAAGAAAAATGTTTGTTCAAACAAAGAAAATATGTGCATTTCTAATCTGGCTCTTCTTTTGCCAACATAAAAAAAAGTTATCTTACAATAATATTTTTCTCCCTAGTGTTAAATTTTGAATACAAATTTGATACATTGGTTAATCTAACTCGCATTTCAAATCTAGAAACAGACTTTGTTGAAGCAACTGCCTTAGCCCATTCGCGCATATTTGCTTTCATCAGCTCACCATCAAGTACCAACTTATTGGTACCCTTGTTGAATTTAGTGCTGGGACTTGGTTGATCAGCTAAAAGATATGGAGGTGGCCGTTCCAAGACACAGCCCTCGTCAGCTTCAATGTTGCTATTGTATTCCATGTAATCGACGCCTGCCATTACTAGAGCTTCAATCGACATATTTTCTTTTAACAAATATATCTAGTACTAGTGATTCTATATCAAAGTATTGCAAAAGTGATGATTCCAAAGAGCTCATCAAAGGGTATTTATATATGAATGCTTTTTATCTTCTTCTCTATTGATTTATGTTCAGAGAAGAGGAAAGAACACACGGGTGTTGCATGAACAAAATTTACATTGCCATACCCGTGATCTTGAAGCCCCTTGTTTTACCTTTCTGATGAATTTACTCAGAAAGACATATTGAAACCCCTTCATACCAAAATATGTCTAGGATTCAATGTTAATGTTAAAATAGGTTATAAGAATTGAATTGGTAGTTGAAGATTGTGGGAAAAGAAGTTACTTTTTGGCAATGCATATGTCATGGAGGATATCATAAAGCATCAGCAAACTAAACTTTGCACTCTTTGTAAAATCCTTGTGATTGAATTATCTAATAAAGTCCTAATAGAATCATCAGATAAAAGTTCTCACATCCTAAATTTGACACACTTTCCATGTGTTTCTTTGGATTGATGAAAAAATTGTAAAATGTGATACATATAATAGAACATCTCCTCGCAGTATTGTTTACGTAGTGTAAACTGGCCGATACGGATTGTGTATCAAACTTAAAAAAGGATCGCGTATCGGCCGATACAGTGAACCATACCTCCCATGTAGTAACCAACATCGGATTCAGAACAGAGGACTGCAAATAGCTGTAGCCACTAGTAGCCGGGTTGCTGAAAATTTAAGTTCCTTTTTGTTAGCATAGTTAAATACAGAGTTAGCCGCAAGGTAGGTGTTTTTTAGGGGGAATTGCCTTGCCCATTTGTTGAACCCATGTAATGCATCGTTGGAGTAAAATTATTGCAATAGTTTCAAGTCAATCTTACATATTGTTCATTCCAGGTATTGATGGATGTAATTGTTACAAACAAGAGACATTCTCATATTGCTCATTCGGTCATTCCTCTTAGTACACTATATTTCTTGCCAACAGTCGGTCTTGTTTCTCTCTCAAGGGACTATATGAATTGAAGACAAAAACCATCACATTGTACACCCAAATTTTGTGTTCAAAGATCTAGAAATGAAAATGAGCAACAAATAACAAATTTATAAAGGGTAAAGTATAATAAACCTCCCTTGACTATATGCCTTTTCTAATAAACCCATTTTAAAATGGTGAGTCTATAAAAAAATAAAAATACCTTGACACACAATATGATATCTTATAAAATCAGTCTCTACTGAGGCTAAATTTTTTATTTGTTATGCTCCATATGCTAATGAATAATTCTTAAAATTTTCTTGCATATATCCGAGTATTTTATTAAAAATAAAATAAGATTGGTGGAGCAAATTCTTAGATTGCTTATGGTGGCTTGTTGCACAAATCTTATATTTATGAAATCCTCATTTCATAAGTTTTCTGTGCATATATTATTTGTAATTTTTTGATGTATGGTTTGTGATATATGAATTTTTGAAGTTAATTTGAATGAATTAGGATTTAAATAAAACAACAATAAGGGCATTTTTGTCTAAACATTCACTCTTTACCTCCCTCGGATAGTTGGAGGGGTTCTGTAACACCCTATAATTTAATTAGGCCCTTTAAGCTTAAGAGGATTTAATTGCCTTACTTTTAAATATATTTTATGTAGATATATTTATATGCTTTATGAGCTGCATTTTTTTGTTCATCCTACTTGCTATTTATATCAATATTATTATTATTTTTTTTACTTACTAGTGTGGTGCCATTTTGCTATTAAGTAAAAATGTAGTGTCAACTTAAGGAACAAATAGGGGATTACCTGGTTAAGTTATGCATAGTTGTCATTATATAGAATAGTTTTAGTCTTAGTGGAACACAGGTGTCCACAAATAGTTTAGTGGAATGTAGGTGTCCACACCATTTGCATGCTTTGGACACCTATGTGTTTACCAGGTTGACACCAAAGCTTTAAAGCACCATTTATTTTTATATTTCTCTGCTTACAGCAACTTAAAAAATAAATAAATAAATTAGGAAGAGAGGATAGAGAGTTTGAATGAGAGGGTACTGGCCGGATCTAAAGAGAGAAAGAGAGAGAGAGAGAAGGAGAAATAGAAAAAAGGAGGAAAATTGAATAAGGGGGTTGTAGGAACTCTTCATCACCACCTATTCTTCTTTTGCCATTGGAAGTAATTATTCTAATACTTGCTGCTTTGAGAGATTTTAATTAAATTTGTTTCTTTGTTAATTTTTCTTTCATACATTGAATGATATTTTGAGCTGATGAATTTTTCCCTATTTTAGAAGATGTTTTATATAAATGATGAGGGATAATTGATCACCTATTGCAACATAACATCATAAGCATGGAAGAGAACAACTATTCTCTTTAACAACAATGATCCTCAAATTTTTCAAAGAACAATTAGACTAATAAGGCTACGTATGGTAAAAATTTTGGAGCATTTAGAAGACAGCAACTCTATAAACAAAAATTTAAAATTCATTCTAACACGTTCAACAAAGCTAGGAGTAAGCACTGTACGTAAACTCATTCCACAACGAGCAACAAACTAATTTTTTTTTTAGCTAGACAATACAAACACAATCTATTCATTCCATTTTACACAAAACATTTTCCCTTCCTATCCCAACAAGATTATACAATAAGCAAGGTCAAGGAAAATCATGTTAGCACCTCATTATGCTAAGTAACAACATGCTGACATCTACATACTAAGGTCACTTGTAAGATAAGTTCAACATGTTTCACACAAAAGAGCAAAACCATCCATACACAAAGAGTACAACTCTCAAACCAAAACAAACTATGTACATACATTAACACCCTAGCATGATTTTTATTTTACAGTAGGGCATTTATATACAATCCCAAAACCAGGCCAAACCCCTAGAAGAGTGCATGTTATCATCTTCAATTTAGTACAGCAACCTCGGCTTGATGCAAAACACATCCAGCACTAAATAAATTCAAAGTTCATAGCTAGCATCCTTGAGTCCACCATCTCGGGTGACAACCCCTGAAAAATGTTAGGAGTGAACAAAGCCAGTAGGAAAAATCTAATAAATGCTTCTATGAGGTTTTATGCATATGATTTGAAAAAGTATTAATGTAAAACTATACCAAGACATTAACAGAGTAATGAGAACATTTCAATGCAAAGAAAATCAATTCTTTAATTTATCAAAATTCTGAAACTGAAGTAAAAAAAAAATGGAGCTGCATTAGAAACCTTTCCATTAGGAAACTCAAATACGATTTTTATTATTGGGACATTAAATGGAGCTGCATTAGAAACCTTTCCATTAAGAAACTCAAATACGATTTTTATTATTGGGACATTTTATCGATTATCCTTAGAACAGACCAGAGTGTTTCGCTGCTGTCCACTCCCCCTTCAAATTAGGGCAAAACTAATTCCAAACCCCCATTGTCATGGGTCCCCCACGTGGGTAGCGGAACTTGCACCTATGGGTAACTCGTACCCCTTTCAACCGGGACATTACCCTCCTAGCCCCCTAGTTCAAGTGTTAAGTTTGTCCCAAGAAGTATTTCAAGTACCAAAACATGATATAGAAAATTTATAATTTAGCCTAAGACTTTGTTTTTCAAAAGGTTCAGCATGGTATATCTATTAAATAAAATTTATGGACTCTAATTTTTCAGAAAACATCAAATAATAGAACCCCTCTCTTAGGTTTCTAGAGCAGCCTTGGGAAATAAAGTTTAACCACTAATGTATGGTGAAAAAATCAATTATAGCAATCATTCCCAACTTTTGAACCAAATAGATACTTGAATCGCAAAGAATATGCTTAGTCAACATGAAATTGAAACAATCAAGTCATAACAAGATATAAAACATCTTCTAAAATAGGGAAAAAATCATCAGCTCTAAATATCATTCAATGTATGAAAGAAAAATTAACAAAGAGACGAATTTAATTAAAATCTCTCAAAGCAGCAAGTATTAGAATAATCCCTACCAATGGCAAAAAAAGAATAGGTGGTGATGAAGAGTTCCTACAACCCCCTCATTCAATTTTCCTCCTTTCTTCTATTTCTCCTTCTCTCTTTCTCTCTCTAGATTCGGCCAGTACCCTCTCATTCTAACTCTCTATTCTCTCTTTCTAATTGTTTTTTTTTTTTTAAGTTGTTGTAAGCAGAGAAATATAAAAATAAATGGTGCTTTAAAGCTTTGGTGTCAACCTGGTACACATAGGTGTCCTAAGCATGCAAATGGCGTGGACACCT